TTCGATGGCGATGGGGTCTGGATCCTTTTGCTTCTACTTCGTGGCTTTTGCTACATCTTCGACATCAAGAGAGAGAGAGAGAAAGGCGACAGAGATGAGTGAAAAAGATAAAGAGAGATGACATTTTATATTCAAGCAAAAAAATTCATATTTGGTTGCTAAAGAGGATCGAAACCCAGACCTCATTAAATCCTCATGCGTTTGTTTTTTTTTTTTTTTTTTGATGTTTTCAAAAATATTTTTTGGATGTTTCCATATTTTAGCCTTATTTTCAAAATATAACAATTAAAAAAAAGCAAAAACATTCACTAAACATGTTTTTATTTTTATCATAAAATGAAAACAAAAACAAAAATAAAGGGTTACCAAACACTACCTCAACTTTCACGTCCCTAGACTAATATTCTCTCAAGTTCGGTCAAAAGGAAGCCATTCACGTTAGAACTAGGGAATTCATGAAGAATAAATCAATCATTACCTGATCCCAAGGGAGTTGTCAAATTTCAAATTTAAGATATTTAAGTTTATAGTTCGTTTTTGACTCCACTAGACTGCTTTTTGGGGTCCATAAATTCTTTTGAAGTTGAATAAATTGCAAGTTCTTCACCCTGTAGATAGCATAAAAATGCACTTGCACAATGTGAGGATATCTTAAGAAAGCTGAATGAAGAAAAAAAAAATTGTGCAGCAACCTTAACATTTGAAGCTTGTGCTGCCTAATGTAGGCTTGGAGTTGGTGAAAGTGAAGTCGGCTTGTGTATGTTGGTTGTGTGGCTGTCCATGGATTGGGCTTACCGGAAGCACGCCCGTGGAAGTGTCCATGTGCCAGCCCAGCCTGGTGTCCTGGCCCGACAGTACTAAACTTGATAGGTCTTGGGACAAGTCCGAGCATTTGTTCGGGCCCATGGCACGGGCTGCCCGGCATGTGCCACAAACTGGTCCTTGGTTGAGTGTCAGACAAGCAGCGTGGCCCTGATAGACCATTCCGTCTCGCCCGAGTCCGGCCCGGCCAATCGACAGCCGAGCAACCAGGAGTGCTGTATTGCCAGATGTTGTCTAGAATTACTTCTCTTCCAAGGACTTGATTGGATGAATTTTGGGAAGGGATTTCAATTGACTTTTTTAAATTCTTTCAAATTCAACTTCTCTATATAAAGATGTAATTTAACGTTCAATTCGATCCATACTTATGTTCTGTATATAACACATACACATGTAAGATTCACAGATATATTATAATTATTAACAATTATTTATTTTATAAATGACTATTTTACCCTTGATCAATCTAATTTATACTCATGTTAAGAAATACAATTATCTTTTGGATCCTTAATCTCTTACTCATCTTCCCAAATTCACCGCTCCCCTAAGTTTGACGAAACTCATAATCATAAGTTTAATCTTTGGATCAGTTACGGGTCAAGTTTAAAAACTTAGGACTGAATTTTTTATACAAACATAAAATTTAGAGAAATTTTAAATAATTTTTCTCAAACTCATCTCATCAATTCCCCCGTATTCCCATACCAAACAACCCCCAAGTGAGTTGAACTCCTCCGCAGAAGTGGAGAGTTGAACTCCTCCGCAGAAGTGGAGACTATATACACCGTCACGCCATGAAACTAGCGGCAGCAATTTGGTACTCCATCTTTTTGTTTCATTGCTCTTGTTATGAATTTAGAAAAATCACAGCTACACTCCTTCTAAGTTATTATATTTTTAACGATATTCCCTTTATTATTAAAAGTATCGCTAACACTCTTTTTAATTTATATTTAAGCATCATTGATACCTTTGCTATTAAACTATCATTTATAACAAAAATAAATTATTTAAAATATCAAAATTGCCCCCACATAAACCCCAAACAATCTTTTTACATAAAATTCAATTAAAATTTCAGTCGATTATAATTTTTTTTTATATATTAAAATTCAAGCTGATTAAAATTATTTTTTCAACATACTAAAATTTGAGTAGATTAAATTTTGATTCAAGTTGATTAAATTTTATTTTTTTTACGGGTATTAAAATTCGAGCATATTAAAAGTACTTTTTGACAGGGGTATTAATGAAGATTCAAAAAATAGAGAGTGACCTTGAAGATATGAGAAACTAGAAGGAGTTTGGCAGCAATTTTTCCTATGACTTTTTATTTCTAATTCAAGTGTCCTACATGTAATATAGCACGTTTTAGAGAAAGGGAAAATTTATTTAAACTTAATTTATTAACTTAATTTGTTGATCTAATAAATCACTTTAATTGAATTGACAATTAGTCTAAGTATTAGTTGGGACCCATTATTAATTTATTGATCGTAATAAATTAAGTTAATAAATAAGATTTGATAAGCCTAGATCTAATTGAGTCAGACCCAATTAATTAAGTAAGCCCAAATTAGTTATAAGGCAGGTGAATCTCAATTCGTGGATTCAATCCAATCCAAGATTCAAGAGACCCAAGAATCTAGCACATGTGGGAGAGAGATCATTAGGATAACCGTTCTCCCATATGAAAACTATATTTAAGTGTATCTATTCTTAACTATAGCTATCCTCCCTGAAAATCTAGTCACCTATCTCTTCACGTTACCACCTCAATCAAGGTTTTGTGCCTATAAATTGCAAACTCTTTCCATATGAGAGAGATATCTCATTACATACCTTACACAACAATCTCTCTCATAACTATCAAGAACATACCCTTAAAGACCATCAGCTACCGTTGCCGTTTTCAAAGTGGAGTAGGTCATATTGATGAAACCACTATACATCTATGTATTACTTGTGTGATCCAATATTTATCTCCTTCATTAATTGGTGTGTTGATCCAATATTTATCTCCTTCGTTAATTATTTTATCGATTGTTTCATTAATTATATTGAATCATATACTCGATTATTAATTATATATCAGTCTATTTTATGCATCATTAAAATTAATAAATTAAACTGACATCGAAGAAATGAGCACGTTTAGCCCACTTGTCATGGCCACAATTAGCACTTGCCAACTGAGAGGTCTTGAATTATTTGACCTTGACCTCTCACCAAAGGCGAGTTGTCACAAATGAAATGTAGTTCTCTCATTGTTGTTGCTTGGGGCCACACCTGGGATGTTCCTCCAGTTGAGATTCTTGAGAATGACATTTTGTATGGGAAAATTCCATGAACACTCTCGGTAGTTTGGCATATATTTAAAGAAACCTCTTGTATTATCTAAACAGAAATTAACGTGAGAAAAAATCTGAATCAAAATTATGACTCAAATGATGTGGCAAAAAAAAGGAAAGGGTTAATTATAAAATGTCCCATTGAACTTTGGGTCTTATTTCAATCATGTTTCTCTAGTTTAAAATTGAATAATTTGCTACCTTCAATGTTCCAAAATTAGCAAGTTGACTGATGAAGTAGACAAAAATTTTAAAATTATTTTTGTACATTTAGCCTTTATTCATCTACATTTTTTTTCCTTTCCCTTTGTCCAATTGAGCCAAAAGCTCCAACGCCACCCGCCACAAACCAACACAACCACCACCCAGCCAACAACCACCCAGTCACAACCACTACAACCACTATCCAACCACAATCAACTAGCCCCACAAACCACTGTAGCCACCACCCAGCCACACAACCACAAACCACTAAAGGTCACCACCCAACCAACAACGCATCCACAATCAACCAACCCATACAACATTGTAGCCACCACCTAGCTACCCAACCTCCGCAACCATAAACCACCACATTCACAATCCATCGAAGAAATTGTCGATAGGAATTTGGATTTTGGTTTCAATGAAAGGGGAGGGATTTGGATTTTTCATTGGAGAAATCGTCGACGATTGGTCTTTTTTCTTTTGATTTTTATTTTACACAAAAATATTAAGATAATGATAGTTGTGGGTTTTTGATTAATATAAGTCATTTTTAACGGTGGTCAACTAACGGTAAGAGTTCTACTAATTAAATACTCTTTATACATTAAAAATTACTTTATCACCCATTAGGTTTTCAAGAGTTCTATGTATCCTTGTAAGTTTTCAAAAACTATAATTTGTATAAAGAGTATTTAATTAGTGCATACAAAAAACTTAATAGCATGACATTAGACCTTTAATAATCAAACGGGAGATATTGATCATCGAGTTACAAACGTGAATTTATGCCATTGGTAATACACTGAATCACAACTAACATTTATAATTAGAACACCATGTCATAAATGAAAGAATAAATGTTTGGTCGAATTGGCAGAAATTAAATTTTCTAATAATACCTAAGAACTAGGTTTTGGATTTTATTAATTATAGTTTTGTGATAGTATCATAAAAATATAAAATTAATAGTATGTAATAAAGGCCAATATATATATCCAATTATTAAAAAATTCTCAATGCTGTCAAAATTTATGTGCTCTTTCTTTTTCTTTGGGATGATGCGAGAGAGAGCAAGAGGCGGCAAACAAGGCAATTACATTTTAATTTTTTCTTGTATGAGATGAGCTCAGTGCATTAGATCGATGGATAATAGAACTAAAATCTCTACATGTTTGATCTTTTTCAAATTTTGTAGTGGTAAAATTTTCGTATAGTGGACCGCTTTTTTAATTTGGTGAAATTACTGCTGCCTTTTTTATCCATGTTGGTCCCAAATTGGTCACGTTTGGTTCTTGACACCTTAGCACCTCAAGCACCTACCACACAGAGAATCAAAATGCTAAACCCAAACCGCCATTCCATTGGTCAAACCAAGCACGTGAATTAGATATATGTAGTAATTACACACATGTTTACACGCGTCACTTTGGGCGCTTGCTGAAGAACATTAACTACGTGTGGTCTTACCTTAATGTCTGTCTGTCTGAGATAAGATGTAAAAGTTTTATACCCAAACATCAGCCACCGCATACGGTACGAGTATAACATAAAAATCTAACGTACTGGAGATCATCACCACCACAACACCACGCGCCACCTTCGCCGCCCCCGCCGCCTATGGGTGCCACAGAACCTGTAAGACATCAACATCACCTCCTTCATATTCAATTTAATTCCTGTCTCATGTTGTTTTCTGTTGAACTTATTACCACATGTTTGTGTTGTGTTGTTATGTAGGTGGTAGAGAGAGAAAATGGTGAAGCAGTGAGGGAAGAGAGAGAAAATGAGAGTAATCGAGAGGCAGAAGTAGATTTCAGGGATGTGGAGAGAGGTCCGGAGGTGGGTGCTCAAGAACATGGTGTCCAGACACACTCTCCTGGTGAATTTCATATGTCAAGGCTTTCCTTTGGTAAGATAGAAAAATAGAAGAACGAGAGGTTGGAAGAATAGAAAGTTGTAATGATGAATAAAATATCATGTTTGATAAAGAAAGAAAATAGGAAGGATACAAAAGTAGATGAATTAATTTTCTTTTCACCTTATCAAAATCAATCTCTCCAAAATCGGAAGAAAAGTGAATGAAAAGTTAATTATTTGTATTGAGATGTATCTTATTTGTCTATATATTATATATATTAATTTTATATAAAAATACAATGATAAAATATATATATATATATATATATATATATATATATATATATAATTTTAAATTAAAAAAATAAAATAAAAATTTAAATTTAAATATTAAATTAAAAAAAAAAATTTATCTTAAATAAGGATAAAAATTTTTGACTCAACATGATGATACGACTTGAACTCGACATGAATTTTATGATATGAACTTAATTATAACTCGATACGAACTTAAAAATGACTTAACACGCTAACAAGAAATATAAAAAACTTATAATTTTATGATTCAACATAAATCCAACACAATACGATTAAATTGTCACCCATAATCTTAGTCAGCACCAAAAAAAATTAAAAAAAATTAGTCATTTTTATTTTTCATCCATCCAACTAAACATAAAAGAAGGAAAGTGTATTATTCTTATTTTTCATTCTTAAAAAATATAAAATGTATCCCTCTTATTTTTTATTATTCTTATTTTTCATCCCTCCTACCAAACGGAGCATAAGCAAAACAAACCCTTTAAGACTTGTCATCAATGGTGCCACCAGAATTGCCTCACCCTCTCCTTCTCAGTTTCGACCCACCCCCTCCTTCTCAGCCTCGCTCCACCCTAACCCCCCAAGTAAGTCTCACAAAAAACTATGCCCTTTTTTTTTTTTTTTAAAAAAAATTTTGTTTTTAGGTTGCCTATTTTCAAGTTTAATCTAAATTTTTCTTTTGGGTTTTGTGTTAAATTGGCAGCAATCACTAATAACACTGAATTCAAGGAGATACACCAACAGAATATCTCTATTTTTGTTCCTTCTGCATATGGTTATGGCTGTTGGGTTATTTGGTTTTCTTATATTCAAGGGAATTCAAAGCCGGCTTCAAGGAGGAGAAACTCAGAGGAAAGAGAAGAGGGTACTAGAGTATTTTCTGCCTCAGGTTGAGGCTGCTTCATTTCTTAGCATTACACTTGCATATTTATGGCAAAAGAGAGTGGCCTAAATTTATGGTTCATTTCATAATTTGGACCTCTTTTCTCATGGCTTTATCTGCTGGGATTCTTCTAATTTGCTTCCAAAGGCCTGCCACTGATGGCGTAGGAGCCGTCTTTATCGTCTTTGCAATTGGTAATGGTTTATATGCTTGTTGGGTTACACAGAGAACTGGGTTTTGTTCTAAGATCTTCATCAAATCACTTGAACCAGTATCTAAATTCCCTGATTTGAATCGACCAACGTATTGGATGCTTGGGGCCGGGTTCTTGTGGATGTCACTGTGGATTTTAGCTGTAATTGGGGCATTATATTTCTACTTCCCACAATGGATTTGAGCCGTAATTGGGGTCGGTGGGGATGCATGAGTCTGTGCCGATGCTGATGGTGATGTAGCTACCGCTGTTGGTGTCAGTGTCAGTGTCGGCACCATTGTCGGTGTCAGTGTCGGCTCAAGTGTAAGCCTAGCTATCGGTGTCGGTGCTGGGGTCGGTGAGGGTGCATGAGCCTATGCCGATGCTAATTGTGAATATCACGGAGTAGTCCAGTCTTGGTAAAGATGAGGAGGTGGCTATGCAGATGTAGACAGTTCGTCATCTGTCGACACTGAAGCTACATCAAGTCGTCACTGCTCTCGAAGAGATGTCAAACATGATGAGCTCATATCTGTAATATGCCCAATTGTGTTCATGCAATATGCTAAGTCCGGACTGCCCTCATATGTACCACGTGTAGTGTGATATATCCGTGTAAGTGTCTGTTTCTACAAAAAATATTTCAAAACATGAGTTAATATATTAAACAATTAGTAACATTTGTACTACAAATTGAATAGTTAAACATTTAATATCTTACCAGAAGTTCTATGATGCTCTCAACATTCTGAAAATCGACAATTGGCCTAGCGTTGGGTGGACCAATAAGGTGCCGAATGATCCGACAATACCATTGCATGTATGCGTTGGTCAAATCCATCGGTCAAGTACTCAGATCTCCGGTAACAATAATATCTCTACATGTGCCCACATCTTTGTGTAGATCTAATGAACTACAGACCAATCCCGATCAAATCTACCTCGATAGTTAACAGCACACAAGGCCCACCTGGTATCGCATGGCTGTGGTATGCGCTGAATTAGGCCAAATTGTCGAGTAACCCGATCTGAAAAATGTCACTCCACAACATCGAAGCAAATCAATGGGGCTCGTGTGCGCCAAATATCTTGCCCAATAAAACAATAATCTGGCAGACCACTCATTATATTAGCTGTATACGGTTCCCATATCATCTGCAATATAAATTTTGAGCACTCAATAATAAATGTAAAGGTATTTTTAAAAAAATTGGGCAAAATTTTTTTTGAAAATTGGACATTTTCAAAAAAATTTAACCTGTATACAACACACCCAACTTAATCACAAGTATAAACAAACAAAAATAACATCCCACCATCTGGACATGTACTTACTTCACATATAAATTCAATGCAATCAACCCAATACACTAACAAACTTTAACAAATAACATCCGAATTCGCCAGATATGGTCAAGTTGATATACTGGATCCTCGCGCATCTGGTCCCGATAGTGACGTAGTACATGCCGGGGCGTGTGCTGCTCCGAAAATATGACATCTCATCTATAGATTTCAACAAAATTTTAAATAGATAATAATATGTAAAATATTTAAATGCGTGAATTGTATCTATAGTACAGATCTACAACCAAGTGGACCATCAAGTACACCGTGCACATCAACCTCTTCATGTACAGGACCCAAATCTACACCAAGTCCTTATAATGGTGGACCATCACCATCGAGTGCCGCTGCATCATGGGTGACCCGTTGTCGTGGTAACACACGTTGTGGAACAATGTGTACCAGACACTCCCATGTCCATAACTGCATACACAATACATTAAATTTACATATGTACAGTTACAATAACATAAAAGTAAACAAGTAAGTGAAGAATGCAAGCAATTACCTGAAGCAAAATAAGTTGACCGCTAATATCCTTCGCGTCCCGCTTAATCGCAAGACACATCTCCCGATATAACTATGCTAGGGCCACATTGCCCCAACTAAAAGTGTCGGCAGCATGTAAATCTCTGAACAATGGTAAGAACATAAGTTTCACCCTACTCGATGACTTGTCGTTGAACAAAAACCCTCCAATCAACAGAAATATGTATGATCGGGCGTAATATGCTATAAAATGTTTGGTCGCATCAGCTGAAATCCCATGGGTCAAATGCTCAACCAGTGCACTAAGGTGTAGTGTAGTCTTATCTATCGCTCCATCTGCTAGTGTGAACCCGAGCAACTCAGTGCACATGACACTCTACTACTGTACATCGCGGATGGTGTCTACACCATATACAGGCATCCCATCAACCAGAAGGCCAAGTAATACAACTGTATTCTTAAGTGAGATGGTTGCCTCACCAACTGACAGATGAAATGTGTGTGTCTCGGGGTGCCATCGCTCTACAAGTGCAGTAATAAGATGTCAGTCCAGCTGAATGTATCTAAAGCGATATGTCCCATAAAATTCGACTGTGCGTAGATGCTGAATAACCAGATCATCTGTGATGGTAACTCAACGAAGAGAAGCCTCTGATCGTCTACAATGTAACGGGGGTAGATCTATACCCTCCCAAATAGCAGTCGTGCGATGGTCACCCTGTAAGGATAGAACAGATGCATCATCGGGACTTGGATGTACTAATGAACAGGGATCACGATCCATGTCTATAACCTACATAATCATAAAATATACAAACATAAGTTAACATATATATATAACATCGTTAATATGTATATGTACCAACGTTAAAATACAGCGTACACTTTAACATGCTTAGTAACGTTAAGAAATATCATATGATGAATAATGGGCTCGAACAATAAATAATGTTTTACAACTTATATACAACATTAGAATGCATAAGTAGCAATTACAGTGGATGATCCATTGAAGAAGCTGATTGGTTCTTCGCTGTACATGTTCGGCGATCGTGCCCTGTTTGCAAACAAATACTATAGTGGTTCTACTTGCGTCTTTTTCTCAGAAAATCCATTTCATTTTGTATGCACGATGTTTGCGGCCGTCCTCTAACTCCTCGAAGCAACGACCTATTAGGACATAATGTAGGGCCATCGGTAGCATCCCAATAATCTTGGTGGTGCAGAGGATGAAGATCAGGTGCCCGAGTGGATTTTATGCTAAATCAATTATAGATGTATGAACACATGATACTAATATATACATCATCATAATTTAATTATAATTAAAAATGGTTGTAGCCAAAAACTTGCTAAAATTTTAGAATTGATCATCCAAGTGCATGTTATGCGAAATAATAAATTTCTCAGGAATCCGAGGTCGAACCACAGGAAATTGGAAAAACAAGAGACACAAAACAAATAAAAAGCAAACTTGTGATTTAAGAGATTGTTGAGTTGAGAAAATATTGATTGGAGTAATTAAAATAGTATAATAAAAATACTAGAGCATCAGGTACTCCCTCTCAATTCCGTACAATAATGATTAAAGACTCAAATCTTAACTTGAGACAAGAATCAGATGTCAGTTGATTCATGTGACAAATCAAGAAAGAAAACCTAAAGTTATAATCAAAAAAATTATTTAGGAACCTGAATAATAATCTAATTATATTATTTTATGAAATAATGATAATTACCTCAAGCATAAAATAACCAGTTATTAACTCGCAGGGAAATTCAAGCAATCGATATACAAGGCACAACAACTCAAGGATTTTTACAGAGCAAAAATTTTGCTAAAAGATCAGAAGTTAAATTAACAAAATATCATAAATCATTAAACTCAGAATCAATAACATTATCGTACTTCATTGAGAGGTTCTCCCCTAACCCAGTTTAATCTTCTAGCCAGACATGACAAACTAAAATTATAAAAGAAAAGATGGGAAAAGAATCCTCCTAATCCTATATGAGAACCTTTATTTATACTCAAAATAAATCTTAAGTATAGGTAGAAGATATAAAGTTGGCTTGGAAGGAATTCCTTTCCTTCCACCACATTAAAAAATATAAAAAAAATACAAAATAAAAATTATGAAATATATAACCTACAAAAAAATAAAACAAATAAATAACAAATAATAATAATAAAATAAAATAAAAAGGAACGAGATTATCGATCTGTGACGAATCTCAAATTTGGCAAACCTCAATAGATGGCGGTGTGTTCTTTCCCTTCAAACAATTCCTCGGCAACGGCGCCAAAAACTTGCTACAACTTTAGAATTGATCACCCAAGTACAGGTTGTGCAAAGTAATAAATTTCTCGGAAGTCTGAGGTCGAACCACAGGAAATTGAAAAACCAAGAGACACAAAACAAATAAAAAGCAAACTTGTAAGAACAATTTATTTAATAGATTGTTGAATTGAGAAAATATTGATTGGAGTAATTAAAATAATATAATAAAAATACTAGAGCATCAGGTACTCCCTCTTAATTCCGTACAATAATGATTAAAGACTCAAATCTTAACTTGAGACAAGAATCAGATGTCGGTTGATTCATGTGACAAATCAAGAAAGAAAATCTAAAGTTATAATCAAAAGATTATTTAGGAACTTGAATAATCATCTAATTATATTATTTTATGAAATAATGATAATTACCTCAAACATGGAATAATCAATTATTTACTCGCAAAAAAATTCAAGCAATCGATATACATGACACAACAACTCAAGGATTTTTATAGAGCAAAAATTTTGCTATAAGATCAAAAGTTAAATTAACAAAATATCATAAATCATTAAATTCAGAATCAATAATATTATCGTACTTCATTGAGAGGTTCTCTCCTAGCCCTAGCTTAGCTTTCTAGCCAGACATGACAAACTAAAACTAGAAAAGAAAAGATGGGAAAAGAATCAGCCCAATCCTAGATGAGAACCCTTATTTATACTAAAAATAAATCTTAAGTATAGGTTGAAGATATAAGGTTGTCTTGGAAGGAATTCCTTTCCCAAAAAGAAGTATTTTAAGGTTAAATTCCGTGCATAAAATCTTTGAGGCGCGGGTACAAAATTTATCCAGATTTCGAGTTTCAATTTCGCATATTTAGAGGCTGAATCACGAAATTTTTGTGAAATACACTTTTGTAGCTCTTGGAGTCTTCTTTCCAGCCTCCAAACATCAAGTAAATCGGATATCAGAGTCAAAAGTTATGACTAGAATACTAAAAATGTGTCGAATCCTTATTCTTCTAAGATACTTTCCTAATCCAAC